GTACATATGTTTAACTTGTTCCGAATATATACAAATTATTTGAAAACAAGTAAAGTGTGTGCTGTTTATTCATCGTTGAATTTATTGCTAACAAGTCACACAAACACCGACTGTAGAAGAATCCTAAGCCCCACAACAACATAGTATATATTTATACTATCAAAAATGTATAAGTAAAAGCCATTTATTTTGACAATTAGCAAAAAGAACTAATATATATATATATATATATATAATTTTTAAAATCTCACAAAAAGCACATAGTTATGTTTTGGCTTCTTTTTCACGTTCATTTTATTATATAGTCAAATTTCCGTTGTCATTACTTTTCTCTATATAAAAACAATAGATAACTACAATTTGTGTAACTACAAAAGGTTAAAATGTTCTTTTTAATTGTTTTCCTCGTCAATAATTGTAGGTTGATTTAGTTTGTCATTTCTTAGCTTTTCTTTTCATATATATATTTGTATATGCAACATCTACCTCAGTTTATTGTTTTATTCATCTCTTAGACTTGAAGTCATTCCCATTGTTCAAAGAGACTGACTGGGAAAATCTGTTGGTCAAGGAGGGGCCTTTTGTTCCACAACCTGATAATGAAATGGACACTATCTACTTTGAAGGTGAGGCCATAAAAAATTAATATTGACCATACATAATGATTTATGAATAAGTAAGTCTGCTAAACCTTTTTTCTTTTTATCTTCAGCACGGAACAACATGCAGCATTTGAAGGTATCCAACTTTGAACTTTGACGAGTCAGCAGTTGAGTAGTTATTGCTCTTTGAGTAGTAAGCTGTGAAGACCTTGTACTGTACTGTATATGAATAATCAAATCACTATAGTGTATATAATATCTTTAACCTTATAAAGTAACCATTTTCCATTTGTTACACGACTGATATGTGTCCTCTGTGACAGTCCAGAAAAACCAGAATAGTTATTTAGAAAACAGAATATTTAAATCATACATTGTACATAAGATCAGGTTACAGATTAAATCCTTAATGTACATAAGATCAGGTTACAGATTAAATCTTAATGTACATAAGATCGGGTTACAGACTAAATCCTTAATGTACATAAGATCAGGTTACAGATTAAATACGTAATATACGTAAGATCAGGTTACAGATTAAATACTTAATGTACATAAGATCAGGTTACAGATTGAATTCTTAATGTACATAAGATCAGGTTACAGATTGAATTCTTAATGTACATAAGATCAGGTTACAGATTAAATCCTTAATGTACATAAGATCAGGTTACAGATTAAATACTTAATATACATAAGATCAGGTTACAGATTAAATACTTAATATACATAAGATCAGGTTATAGATTAAATACTTAATATACATAAGATTGGGTTACAGATTAAATCTTTAATATACATAAGATCGGGTTACAGATTAAATCTTTAATGTAAATAAGATCAGGTTACAGATTAAATCCTTAATATACATAAGATCAGGTTACAGATTAAATACTTAATATACATAAGATCAGGTTACAGATTAAATACTTAATATACATAAGATCAGGTTATAGATTAAATACTTAATATACATAAGATCGGGTTACAGATTAAATGCTTAATGTACATAAGATCGGATTACAGATTAAATACTTAATGTACATAAGATCGAGTTACAGATTAAATACTTAATGTACATAAGATCGAGTTACAGATTAAATCCTTAATATACATAAGATTGTGTTACAGATTAAATACTTAATATACATAAGATCGGGTTACAGATTAAATCCTTAATATACATAAGATCAGGTTACAGATTAAATCCTTAATGTACATAAGATCGGGTTACAGATTAAATACTTAATATACATAAGATCAGGTTACAGATTAAATCCTTAATGTACATAAGATCAGGTTACAGATTAAATCCTTAATGTACATAAGATCAGGTTTCAGATTAAATCCTTAATGTACATAAGATCAGGTTTCAGATTAAATCCTTAATGTATTTTCTAACCCAACTCAGTTGTTAATAGATCTGTTAAAAAGTTACTGATGAGATAGAAGTACTTAGATAATTCTCATTGAAACTTGAAAATGTTCTCAAAATCTACTTTAAAAATCAGATCATCATTCTTGTTTTGATGTAACTTAACAAGACCTAAGTAAAACAAAAGATATGTTGTTATAATTTCTGACATTAATCAGTGAATTGTGGGAAGATATCAACATACAACAAAGTGAAAATAGCAGAAATTTAACAAGTTTAAAGATTATCCACAAGTCACAAATTCATTTCAACATATACCTGCAGATAGGGGGCGTTACATAGAAGCTAACAACTGATACAATGGAGTACTATATATATATATACAAGATTACATTTAACCAACTTTAATGAAAATTCGAAGTTGAAACACGTAGCAATGACATGAGTTGTAAACCAGTGTTATTTAAAAATTGAATTTTTTTTTAAGATGTTATGTTTTATTCTTCAGTTAATACTTTTTACCCGCTATGTTTGAGTTTCATCAATGGCCAGTAGTGACGTGGTGTATTGATTAATAAAACACAGATTTTTATCGAACATAGTTACCTATCCTGTTTGTTTGGGAACAAAATATGCTGTTGAATTTCTTCTTCAATTTGCCCTAAAGTTGAAGAGGAACAAACTGGCAGTTGCACATCCCATGACACTCCACAAACAGAGATGCACATCCTGTGGCATTTCAAAAACTGACAGGTGCACGTCCCGTGACACTCCACAAACAGACCCGCACATCCTGTGGCACTTCATAAACTGACAGGTGCACATCCCATGACACTCCACAAACAGACCCGCACATCCTGTGGCACTTCAAAAACTGACTGGTGCATGTCCCGTGACACTTCATAAACTGACAGGTGCACATCTCGTGACACTCCACAAACAGAGATGCACATCCTGTGGCACTTTAAAAACTGACTGGTGCATGTCCCGTGACACTTCATAAACTGACAGGTGCACATCTCGTGACACTCCACAACAGAATCTGATCAAGCAACAATGAGACAAAAAATTATGTGAACACTTAGAGTGAGTTATTGTGGTTATACAACCAGTAACAAAATATAAGTGTCAAATTTGAATCGACACTGGTAGGCTTATATGTGGTGTTAAGAAGAGTTAATGAAGTTGTGTTAAAAAAAAACAACATGCTAAACCAAAGATTGTTCACAGTAACTGATTTTTTTTTAAAAATTTAAAATATCATTTTGGGATTAGTGAACTGGATAAGGATTTTTAAAATGAAACTGGATTAGGCTGGTTTTAATCTCAACATTAAATTATAAGATGAAGCAACAATAAACGAGACATGAATGTGTGTAAGATACCAGATTATTTGTTTCTAAGTATCAGTAATATATTTTAAAGAAAACAAATTAATTTGTAACAATACGAAAATTTAATGGCAGTTTCTTTCATCTTTAATTATTTGCAGGAAATTCAAATGGTTCACAACAATAAAATAAATTTGTTTAATTTTGCTGTTGTACAGGATTGTTAACTATGTTATTAAAAGTCTTAAAAAGATACTTTCTACTATTTAATATGCACATCACATTAACACGAAATAATCAGTGAAGATCAAAAGGGCAACATGTTTTCACAAAACCTAATTGTTAGAACCTTGGGCATAAAATCCAATAAAAGAATCTGACTCGGTAAGGATATTTACTAGTATAATATTCTGCTCAGGTTGGTTTGTAATTAAGCACAAAGCTACATAATGGGCTATCTGTGCTCTGCCCGCCATGGGTATCGAAACCCGGAATCTAGCACTGTAACTCCGCAGACATACCGCTTTGCCACAAGGGGGCGCTCAGGTTGGTCGGCATGTTGTTCTCAATGGTTAGTGTGCAGTTGCTGTTGGATGTCTGAATAAATAATAGTTTCTGGATTACTCCAAAGTAACTTATTGTAAATTAATGGAGGGTTTCTCCTATGTCCACACACCACAATGTAATTTATATTAATTATTATTTGTAAGTCGTTGCACTTTTGTTGATTTAGTTTTCTTACAAAACCTGCCTATAATTTACTCATTCTGTTGGTGTGAATACGAAACCCTGGGTTGTTTACAATGAATATCTCGCAAAAGTTTTATTTATTTATTGTTGTTGTTAATTTTTTTGTAAATCAAAATTCAGTACATCGCAATACTATTAATTCAAATATTACAAAAGTTAGAGGTTAAATTTCTACTATTACGCCATCTTTTGGTGGGCTACCAAACCAATGTAAGAAATAGAACAACCGTTTCTTACAATTAACATGTTGAGCTCAATGCGTTGATAACAATTAGATTATAAACATATATGGTACTACAGCTTGGAAAATAAAGTATATCACTTCCTTCACTCAATGAAAACAGCGATATGAAGTTCTTGTTTTCTTCTTCGTACCACAAAAGAAATGTTAACCGATGTTTTTTGACATGCTTTTTCAGGATCGAGCGCCCTCTACATTTTGAATCAATGTAAATCAATAAATAAAATATATATTTATTTGTGTGAAATGTCTGTGATGATTTAGAAGCCCTAATTAGCGATAAATTTATAAAATTAATGAAATTGTCTCACTTTGTATAACACAAAAAGAAACACATTACATTATTGCTAAATATCGGAACAACAATATTTCGATTTTGGTTGCTGTAACAACACACATACTCCTGACTGTATTTAAAAAGTTTGAAAACTTTTTATATCTAAAAAGCTTTAGTTATTGTAAGTAATATTATACTTGGAATTTGCGAACTCTAATGGAGAATAGCTAGTTTATATAACGTAGTAATACTTTATGCATTCGTCAGTATTACATAAGTGGCAACTTTATTGTCACTAGAGGACAGCACAAGAAAGTATGTATGCAAGCGTTTTATGTGGTCAATAAAAATATTGGTTTCTAGAATATGAGATGCCTTGTTAGTCTGAATGTTATTCTACTACAGGAAATGAATTTTTCAACTCTTTTCAGGGATATCAATATGTACTTGAGACAACCATAGAGCCCTCCAGTGGCACAACGGTATGTCTGCGGACTTGCAACGTTAGAAACCGGGTTTCGATACCCGTGATGGGCAGAGCACAGATACCCTTTTTGTAGGTTTGTGCTTGACTACAGACAAACAAACATGGAATGTATTACAGAGCAGAATGAAGTAGCCTGTTAGAACAGCAGCGTTAAAAATTCTTCTTTAATACAGATTTTATTTTGATATATCAATGAATTATGTCTTATCTAGTGTTTCACCAATGTTAAAAGATTAAAATTTGCCCATTTTAAGGTGTTTTTCTGTAAATTATTTATATAAAGTTGTAAAAAAATGTTCTGATTAAATTATTAGAGTTAAATATTAAGAGCCCCCAACGGTAAGTCTGTAGACTTATAATTCTAAAAAATCGGGTTTCGATACCCGTGGTAGTCACAGCACATGTAGCCCATTGTGTAGCTTTGTGCTCAATAATGAAACAAGTAAATATGAAGAAAATGTTTAGAACAGTTTTTAGTTCTAGATTATCAATATGGAGAACAGAGAGAGG